ACTGCTCGATCACTGATCCAATGCATACATATTGATATCTGCTCCAACTTATGTCTTCACCTGTGTAAGTACTTACAAATTATATCCCTGGTACATAGCTTTACAACATAGTTATCCTGATCACTGCCTCATACATAGAAGTATATAACATATCATGTACTTAGATATTTTCCTCAGTCTTAATATTACTTGTCTTCTTGCAGTTACTACTTGTGAGAATTCTCAGTAGGACCTTGCCTCCTCTGGACACAAGTTTCAACTTGTTGTCACCTCTGACCCTCTGACCCTCCACTCCGACTTAGAGCCGTGCTCTAAGTCTCTCCCTTATTTCTCTGCCCCTTTCAATATTCCCCTCTGACCCTTTTCCATCCTCCACATTATCCTCCACCTTCCCTGCTCCTACCAAACATTCCCCCTGCTCCTATCCACCCTCCGCATCACTCCCCGCCTTCTCCACTCTGCTCCTAGTCGACCTGCCGCTAGCAGCTCTTACCTCCCGACCCTCAAAGCGGACCTAAGCGGTCTACTTGTCCTGTCGTTGGACAACGTCAGACCCGCTCCAAATTCAGGGCAGGTACTCGGCTAAGGGCACAGCGCAAGAGCTGAAGCCAAGCCCCAACCCCTCTGCTTCCTGAGCCGGCACGGTACCTAACACATCATCTGCACACACAATTGGTCACTGTCCATCGTCTCATGTCATTGGCCTGTCGTCTATTGGTACGTATATCTCTTACTTTGATTGCTTTCCATCCCCATTCGCATAATTGGGCCGCTTATTGGCCTTTTATCACCCCACCTCACACCTTATTACATGGACACAGAGAAACGAGTATTTAGCGATCCATGAGGCATCTTAAGCGACCTGAAGTTCACCTTCATCGCTTAGTCTCATTTACTATATATTCCGCCCATGTTCTTAGTAGTTGAGCTAGCAAATTCTCACTTGGAATGATTTCTTGTGTGGTTTCTCATTGAGTTGTCGGCTGACTCTCTTAAATGTTCGCTCATTGTACTACACACACACCTCCACTATTCCACTCATTCATCACTCAGGTCTGCTCAGGGCCACTCCACTTCACTCAGTTTCACTCTCTCTTTGCTCAACTTCACTCAGCCAAGTCGGCATTGGCATTGGCATCAACTATTAGGTCGGACAATACAACTTGTTGTTGGTGGTTTGCATTGCACTGCTTCCCCTATAGGGTCGAACGCACTTGAATTGGCCACAGTCACGCTGATATCGCAGTAGCAACTGGAACCCACAGCATAGTCCTTATTCCCCTCTTTGGGATAGATGTCCCAGCATCTAGTGAGGGAGTCCGGTTTAGCTCCGAGTTTTCCGGGACAGAAAAAGATGATAAGATTGAATTGGTGGAGGAATTTCAACCATCATGCCTGACAGCGCAAGAGGAGTTTGGTGGTGGCAAAGTACTCAAGGTTTTTGTGGTCTGTGACTACATCAATAGGTTGGGAGGAGCCTTCTAGGTAGTGTTGCCAGGTCTGGAAAGCTTCGTAGATGGCCATGAGTTCTGGAGCTGTAAGCATTCTGGAGTAGAATGCCACCGGACAAAGTTCTGAGTCTGGACAGATAATGGATAGAATTCCGGTGATGGCATAGTCAGAGGCATCTGTTTCTACAACAATGGGAATGTCCGGCATCCAATGTGTCAACACCAGAGCTGTGGTGAAAGCCTCCTTGAGTGTCTTGAAGGATCACCGACACTCATCAGAGAAATTCCATGGAGTATCCTTGCGAGTGAGGCGAGTGAGCGGAACTACAATATCTGAGTAGTTGAAAATGAAGCAATGGTAGAAGTTGGCAAATCCAAGAAACAATTGAATGTCCTTGACCTTCCAGGGTTCTGGCCAGTCACAGATGGCTTGGATCTTGGTGGGCAACATGGTAAGACCATCCAGAGATAGGAGGTAGCCAAGGTATTCTATGGAGTTCAAGTGGAATTCACATTTTTCCGGTTTAGCATAGAGGCAGTGCTTTTGGAGTTGTCAGAGAACTTCATGGACATGTTGTTTGTGGGATGCAAGGTCTTGGGAATAGATGAGGATGTCATCCAGGTACACAATAATGCATATATCAAGCATATTGGCAAAGATGCTATTGACAAAGCGCTGGAAAGCCACTGGAGTGTTGGTAAGGCCCTCAGGCATGACCAACCATTCATAGGAGCCATAGCACGTATGGAAAGCAGTTTTCCACTCATCTCCGGCTGCTACCCGGATGAGGTGATAAGCAGACTAGAGGTCAATTTTGGTGTAAACTTTCACATGGCTTGGAGAATCTAAGAGGTCAGCAATGAGGAGCAGGGGATAGTGGTCTTTCTTGGTAATCTGGTTGAGACCTTGGAAGTCCACACAGAGGCGTAGAGAGCCATCCTTCTTTTTGACAAACAGGATGGGAGCCATGTGCAGAGAGGATGAGGAGTGGAGCAGTCCAGCTGCGATATTTTGGTCAAGGAACTTCCGGAGAGCTTCAAGTTCTACCGGGGAAAGGGAATAAATGGTGCCAAGTGGCAGGGCAGCTCCTTCTTCCAAGTTGATCTTCAGATCGTAAGGTCAGTGTGGAGGAAGTTGACTTGCTTTGCCTTTGTCAAAAACATCTGCAAACTCATGGTATTCTGAAGGGATACCGGATAGATCCAGAGGATCAGTGGAGAGCATAGCAGAGTGGAGGTTGACACCAGAGGGGCAAAGGTAAATACTGAACTGGGTTAACCCCTCTAGCTTGCAGGCCCAGCAGAAGGCAACAGCATTTACTAGAGATATATGGGGGTCAGCCTTATCAGGAGGAGCTCAGTGTAGTCAGGGCAGGGGTTTCTGCTGGAGGAGGTGGGGGTGGAGTCAGAGCAGAGGAGTATAGACATATCAATGAAATGGGGTAATTTGACTTGGGAGTTGGAAGAGGATGGGTGATAAACCGAGCACACATATGACAGACCTGCTTGTGTATATGAAATAGTGCTTTTAGGGTGATTCTCTTTTGTTTTTTGGTGGCGAACCAGACATAAACTGGCGGAAGGGAACATGGCTAGTCCGGAGATAGGAGTACCACAGTAAAGTGGACCCTTTTTGGATGTCAGAGGTCAATGGCATTTCCAGTAGTAAAACCCGGAAGAGGTGTCTGCTCTATACCCTATCAATCAACAGATCATAGCAGGAGAGCAAGTAGCATTCCTGAGTAGTACTAGGAGAATCCAAGGGAGTTGAATGTTGAGAGTAACTTGCCAGTCAAAAGCAGTGGAGGAGTCGGATATACTGGAACCGGAGATAATTATGTAGTGTTTGGTGTATAATAGCTATGATCGGGAGTCGAGCTGGAAGGAACAGATAAAGTATGCTGAGGTGAACAGAGCAGAAAATGCATGAGTTATGGATGAGAAGATTTAAATGGTAGTGAAAGGGTGGGAGGAAAAATCATAGTTTATGAGGGACAGGAGTTTGAACCTGGCAAAGGGGTGGTTCATGGACATTAATATACTCGGTAAGGTGTGAGTTCGAATATACTGTAAGGTCATGCTTAAGGGAAGAGTAACTCAAAGGGCTTGGCTTCAGCTCGTGTGCTGCACCCCTTACCCAAGTATGTGCCCTTAATTTCCAAGGGTCAGAAGGGGAGTCCAACGGAAGTTTGGGTAAGTCCAGAGGTCAGACACAGGGGGAGTTCGGCAGAACTCCGGAAGGCTAAGAGTAAATAGAGTAAGGCTACTTCAGACAAGTCTGGAGTAGAAATGGAACAGAGATAGACTACCCTAAGGTAGAACTGGATATATAGTCTTAAGGAATAAACCCAAGACTTGGAGGTGGACAAGAGATTGGACTCAAGTCCAGAGAAACAAGAATGAGCAGGAACTAAGATGATGTTTGAACTAAGGAGGTATGGTGTTTTACAGGAGTTTATATACTGTAGATATCATGTAAGTAATCAGTTAGCAAAGTGAAAAGCTATACCCAAAGCATATAGAAAGTCTATTAGTAAGTATACAATGGATCAAAGAAATGAAGTTGGAAATGAAGTGCAGATGGATGGATCAGCAAGCAAGGCAGAAAGGTGTACAACCAGTAGCTGGAGAGCAGTATTCTAAAAGGAGATAGGTGTGAGTCTGGAGATGAAAAATGGAGCGCCAGACAGAGAAATAGGACGGAGACCTGGATATTCATAGGGGAGCATCCAGAATTCTGGGTCTGGAGGTACAGGATATGACAGGTGAGTGAAAAGATGCCTCACAAGGGTGTCTGTGCAGTGAAGATCTGAAGATCTGGTCCAATGGTCAATTATCTTCAATCCAGCAGCCTTAGGAGGCTGATTACAAGGGGGATTGGACCCACATCATTGAGATTTCCCTCTTCCACAGGATGTGGATGGATTGGGGGGCAACTCCATTGCCTTTGGGCAAGTTTGAGCATTTGCTTGAAGCCTTGCAGTAATGGTGGATGCATTGTCAAACAGCAGGCATTAGTATTTAAGCTCTGACACTAGATGCCAGCCAACCCCATTGTTGTTGGCTGTGCTAGAACACTTACAGTATTCAACTGGTCCTTGTAACACTGCCACTCATTGAAACAGTTGGTGTTTCTCACTCAATCTTACACAAAACTCCTTTAAATTTGATTCTTTATTAGACTTTGAGAGGCCCTCTATCAGAATTAAGAGTGACCCATGGAAAAAAATTATGATATGCACAAGACATGGCAATATAACCGTGTTTGCCTGTTACTCAAAAATTTTCAAGGGCTACTGTGAATATATTGGCTGTCTGTTTGACTCATCTTTGCACCTGGAAAGCTCCAACAGGTCCCTGCATGGAATTTTGGAGTAAGGTTGACTGCAGTGAATGCTGTGAAGAGTGCCATGGTCCGTTCCATGTGTTGATAATGAGGCATTGAGCCTAGTAGTAGTCAGACAACTCACACCACTCAAATCCTGCAACTATGACTGCTCAAATTTTGCCATTACAATGGCTGGATGGCTGAAATCACTCACTAAATGAGTACAGATCTCCAGAGAAGAGAAGGACAAATTGATGGCACATGCTGTCATTGAGTATCAAGCTGAGCTTGACAAGCAGCCATGTGAAAAGAAACATGGACTCCAACAAGTTTGTATTGACATTCAGAAGATACATCTCAAGGAAACAGGGCAAGTGATTACACTTAGCCATGTTACTCTCAGTCATCTCACCAAAGGAGGCATCAATCTCAGCAAGTTTAACAGCTCAACAAAGAGATGGTTGACAGAAGGCAAAGAAGAAACTGTCATTGACTACATACAACAAATGGCTATGAGAGGTTTTCCTTTGAACCACAAGAGGCTCAAAGAACATGTCGATGAAATTTGTCAAGCACAGCTTGGTGCAGCTTTCCCTAAAACTGGAGTAGGGAGAAATTGGACTCATTGCTTCATTGAGAGACATTCTGACTGCTTGCATGGATATCAAGCACACACTCTTGACCATTGTGGGTACAACAAGTGTAGCAGTGAGAAATCTAACTACTACACAGTTGGGTCTTTGCTGCCTGCTGCCTCACTTGAGAACAAGCATGTTCAACCCTAAAGGGGATTGCTACTGGGGAGTGCTAGTCTCTGTCTAAACAACCCTAATCAACCCTACCACAGGTAGGATGAAGATCCGCAAAAATGCAGAACAAGCGGAATGAAACAGAATCAAGCGGAACAAAGTGTAACTCAAGCAGATAAAATGCAGAACATACAGATTCATTGGAACATGTGGATCAAGTCGAAGGAAGTATATCACAAGTTTAGATTGATAGTGAGCATAAGTCAAAGTGATCCTCTAGTAAGGTGAAGGAAAAGTCAGAGAAAAGTCGGAAGGTAAAAGATTCAATGATAAAAAACACCCAAGCCCTGAGTACCACTACTTATATGGAACATTATTTTCAAGGAACACCAAGGTACAGGTAGTAAATTCTCAGGAAGCGGAAGTGAAGGCAGGCAGTGCACATGGGTGTAATACTGTGCAATAGGGGTCCATGCCATAAGGGCATGTGTCAATATGATCCGGATAATGTTAGAAGCAATGGGAAGAGAGATACAGTGTACCAATGGACCTGGAAGGATGGGACAGGACATGTGAAGGTTATCTGATGATGCACAGGAATGCAGAATGCATCAGACGATGTGTGGGAAATGCGGAATATGTGGAACTGATGTGAGATGATGCAGAATTGACAGGGTTTTATGCCTACAGTGGGAGCATTCCCCACACTGTGCCTGTGGTCATGGAGTTAACCCTACTACAAACAAGGCATGGTATGAGCTACTTGGTGAAACCTTGCAGACTGGTGATGACGGGCAGCCTATTGCTCCCAAGTGCATCTGGGGTGTTGATGAAACAGGATTCCAGCCAAACAGTGGGTCCTTGCAGGAGAGAGTCTTTGGTACTGCAGGAAACAAAGTGCAATATCAGCAGCGCAGCAGAAACCGAGAAAAATATTACTGTGATTGTGACTATTGGAGCTGATGGAACTTCATTACCCCCTGCTGTCATTTGCAAGGGGAAGGCATACCAGTCCAAGTGGGGCGAGAATAATCCACTTAATGCATCATAAGCATAAGTAGATGGTCCTGATTATAACCTGCTAATTTTTAAGTCAGACTTGGCTACTCCAAGAAGGGTTGGACAGATGGTGAAATTGGGGCAGAATGGATCAAGCAATTTGATGAGCAAACATGCCACAAAGCAAATGGTCATGCATGGCTCTTACTCATTGATGGCCACAACTCACACTATACTTGTACCTTTCTTGAGTATGCACAACAACACAAGATCCACATATTGTGTTACCCTGCCCACGCAACTCACATCTATCAAGGTTTGGATGTGACTGTGTTTGGTGTTCTCAAAAAGTGCTGGGCCAAAGAGTGTGATCAATGGGAGCGAGAAAAGGGAGAACAAGTAACTAAGAAGAACTTCCTCAAAATTTACAGAGCAGCACATGTTCGTGCTCTAACATGTCAAACCATCCAGGCTGCATTCCAAAAGACAGGTGTTTGGCTATATAATCCCACTGTCATCACAAAGGACATGTTAGCACCAAGTATTGAGACTTCGAAGCAAGGAAACCTACCCCTCAGTCTTCCCTCACCTCTCTATGCCATCACACAGCTTTTATGTGAAGAGCTCAATGAATATCATACCAACAGCAGCCTCCCTTCTATTGCTGAGGAAGAAGAAGTACCTCTTAGTACCAATCATAATGACGACGAGAACCCCTTTCTGTTAGGTACCGTGCCGGCTCAGGAGGCAGAGGGGTCGGGGCTTGGCTTCAGCTCTTGCACTGTGCCCTTAGCCGAGTATGTGCCCCGAATTTGGAGTGGGTCTGACATTGTCCGACGATAGGACGAGTGGACCACTTTGGTCCACTTTGAGGGTCGGGAAGTAAGAGCTACTAGCAGCGAGCCAACTAGGAGTGGAGCGGAGAAGGCAGGGAGTGATGCGGAGGGTGGATAGGAGCAGGGGGAAGGTTTGGTGGGAGCGGGAAAGGCAGAGGATGGGAAAAGGGACAAGGGGAATATTTGATAGGGGCGGAGGAATAAGGGGAACACTTAGAGCACAGCTCTAAGTCAGAGCAGAGGGTCGGAGGGTCGGAGGTGACAACAAGTTTGTTACAATGGCGCTATATTTACTTTTCTCTTTCTTTCTTTACTTACTCATCAAGTCTTGTGACTGCTTATCAACATGTCCAACACATGAACGCTTACCTATATGCTTACTCATTATGCTTACGCAGATGATTACTCATACTGTTCCCTGATTGGTCGATCCAACATCGTACCATTTCTCATCTCCTTTCCTGATTGGTTGATATTGTCTTCCTATTCTCACTTACCTTTCTTGATAGGGTCATCTACCTACAGACCGGCCCTAAACTACCTTCTTGTTACATATATATCACATTTCCTGTACTTGTATTCCTTAACTTGAATCTACTAGGTTCTCTCCTGATACTTCGAGTTCACCGATCTAGCTGCTTCCTAAGCAGACTAGCCTGAATACTTGATCTAGCGAGCCCTTGACACTCAACTAGCCTGAACCTTTGATCTTAGAACTCGCAATACACTTCAGCCTTGATCATCCTTTATAGGAACACTGAAGAAGAACTATCCTAGTCATAACAAAGTTGAGACTTGTGTCCAGAGGAGGCAAGGTCCTACTGAGAATTCTCACAAGAGGTAACTGCGAGAAGACAAGTAATATTAAGACTGGGGAAGATATCTAAGTACATGATATGTTATATACTTCTATGTATGAGGCAGTGACCAGGATAACTATGTTGTAAAGCTATGTACCAGGGATATAATTTGTAAGTACTTACACAGGTGAAGACATAAGTCGGAGCAGATATCAATATGTACACATCAGATCAGTGATCGAGCGGTAATAGGAATTACCGGTGATCTGGAAGTAAGGGTCTATGTACCGAAGGGGAAAGTATATATCTAAAAGGGGAAAGAGGTCCAGTTGAATGGAGATGTTATGGAAGGGGACCAGTTGAGCAGTGGAGCAGAAGCGTAGAAGTGGAATGCGGATTTGTGATTGGACGGAGCGGAGGATGGATGGAGCGGAGGGGGTCGGAAAGCAGAGCAGATATCAATATCGGAGTGGTCGGATCAGGTATATGACACTTTCATGCCAACTCACTTGGACATTCTACCCACAAAACACTCTGTGGCATGGGAATAAGAAGTTCCACCATCCATGATGCTATCTCAAACCTGGAAAACATCTCTGCAAGATTCCTCGTCTCATCTTCATCTATTAAATCAGTTCTGCAGCCTCCAAAACCTGTCACAAGTATGATCTTACCAATCAAAAAGTCTCAGCTAGTCAGTGCCACCTCACAAGCTTTCCCCACATCAACAAACAGCAGAAGCTCCAGAGGATGGTCAATGACTTGACTGCACAGGTGGCATGCTTGAAGGAACAAGTTGTTGGGCTGCAGGCAACAGTTGTCTTGCAAGGATTGTACTGTGATCGAGTTCAGCAGCACCTAGAAACCCAGGTAAAAAAAATGGAGAAAGATAATATTAGGCTTAATGGCAATGGGATGCCATGGCTACTCACAGGCAACAAAATTTTTGAAGAGGTGTTGCAACACCAAGCACAGCAGGAAGCAAAAGTTGCTGCCAAGAAACAGCAATGCCAGGCATGAGAGAAGAGGATCCAGAAGATAGTTCAATGGGAAGAGGAAGAGAAGGCACAGAAAGAGAGGAACACCATGAGGAAGACTGAGTGGAAGAAGGAAGTAATCAAGTGGGAGGCAGAGTGAGACCTTGCCAAGCAAGAGAAATGTCAGACATGCTGGAAAAAGCCAGTGCTGGGTCCGCTCAAAAAGCCAGTACCAAAGCCGAAAAATCAGAGGCAAGATGATGACCCACTTCAAGCTGATGATGATGAAGCCAACTGGCTGGATGTTGAGGGTGATTTTAGCAGCAAGGATGACAGTGAGTGAAGAGTCGCTGATGCTAAGTGTGATGTGACACCTGTGTGACAGCGGTGTTTCAAGGACTTGGGAATGCCAAAAAAAAAGATGTCCTCACCAATCCATGTTTTACTCACCCGCTACTTCACTGATTTTAATTCTGCTTTGCATGTATATACTTTGGATGCTGTAGAATACATTGTAGTCAATGATTTTTGCTAAGTGTTTGTGTTCTGGGAAGAATGAGCATTTTTCAAATTTTGTGTTACAGGGATCGGTTGAAGACTGTAGCTGGCTTTTTACCAAGCATGTCTAGAAATCTACTTTGATTCCCACTAATGTAATACAACAAATAATTTTCGCATTTGGAAAACCAACCTGATACACATGGTCCACCGTCATCAGTAAAACCTCGACTTACTTAATCAGACTTTTTTGGACTTTTCGATGGTTTTCACATGTTTTCAAAAATGAGTGGCCTTTTTTCAATTGCTTTTCTTAATTCACTGCCTGGTCCCAGCTTCAGTATTAAGAATAGTTTATTATCATTATTCACGACTGTTGCAATGGTTGGAGTTCACAACTTGTAAAGATTACCACTTCAGGATAGTATTTGAAAATAAAAATTATCAGCACTCTGTGCCACTTACCAGTAACAAATTTGTGTTTTGATGTTTTGAAACATGTTTCTTAGGTTTATAAAACATATTGGAACACGTAAGTTTGGATCAGGCAGTGAATTAAGAAAAACAATTGAAAAAAAGGTCACTCATTTTTGAAAAGAAGTAAAAACCATCGAAAAGTTCAAATAAGTCTGATTAAGTAAGTCGAGGTTTTACTGATGGCCCGTAGCAGCAGCAAAATTTGTTCAGAAGCAAGCACGTTGATCAACTCAGCAACAAACTATAGTAACTCACGGGTCGTGTCATCAGCCGTACTGCACCAATGCGAAAGCAGACACACGACTCACTATAGTTCGCTGTCGCAACATACCACTCGCTCATGTATAACACGTCCAGACGCCCTACCACGCCGGTGAGTCATGTGGTTAAATCCAGGACGTAAATTACTCCTACTCACAATAAATTTGCATTTCTCCCCAACGCAGCAGCTGTTAAAGAGGCAATATTTAGGGCATGTGACACTGCCATGGTCACTGGCAGGGTCACTGGCAGGTATTGATGCTGCAGATATCGATGTCGTTAAAACAGCAAGAACGGCGAGGACAAAGGGGAAACGCATTGTTTGTGAGGGATCAAACAAATCTGAAGACGACAGTAGGAAGACAGCTTGCTTTTATGTGCTGAGTATGTTCTTTATGACGATGTAGGAAGATTCTACCCCCCTTTCGAACAGATGATATCTGCAATGCCAGCAGATTGCCACCACTACCTTGTGACACAGGGTCTATTGGCAATTTGACGTGGAACAGACTCACCTTGCGAACCAAGGTCAATGCCAGCTCGAATCTGCTGTCGGGAACTATTGCAACAAGTGATCAGCTTTATTCAAGTCATGATGTCCCCAGACACCTCAATGGGATCAAGTAATATTTGTATTTGCACAGTGCGTTGACGCGACGCGACGCGCATGACCAAATCGCGTCGTGTCAGCTTGTTCATCGGAGCTATAGGTAGCATATCCCTTGGCGTACCCTGGGCTCAGGTCCGGGTAGGGTCCGAGTGCCTCAACTCTGGACCCGTACACGTACAGGTGGCCGTACCCGAGGTGTACTCTTACCCTTACCCACCACGGTACCTGTGCTTTTGCCATCTCTCACTGTTCTGTACGGCCCAAACCCATACCATGTTGCCGATTATGCAATGTATAGCACCTCGTTCTGATATCATGTCGACTCACATTTCTACTTCCACAATCTCATAGTCTCCCTAGGCAGACCATAACAGAATCTCAAGGTACTATTCAGATAACAGTTTTCGAAGATGTCACCTCTCCGACCGGGGATGAAGAAACTGAACATGAGCGTTAGTTCGCGCCTCATTCATGAGGTTGTATTTATCTTTGTCTTCTCTGTCTAGCCTCTCTGCGATGTTCATCGATAGGAAGGAGACTCTGTTATTACTCGAACAAGTATGATATTGATAATCAATAGCACACCTTGCATTAGGAATAAATGTCAAAAAAATTTCCGGCGGTTCAGTCGTCCCTCTCCCACCAAAGTGGGAGTCGGAGACCAAGGACAAATCGAGTGACGTAGCCATCTGAGTATGAGTAATTTGCTTTGCCAAGTGCAAGTACTCACAAGGTTCTGCGATACTTCCTGGTCCGATGAGTTACATCTGACTTTTTGCGGGGTTGCAGTTACTGCAAAGACTGACACGTGGTGTCCTGCCATCCGCGATCGCATTCAACCTTCAACGCCCCAACCCGCCTGATGAGATGAACTTGGGGTGATTAGTTATCAAGTACGTTTCTCCTGGACCGATCCACGCATATCTTAACCTCTTCTTCGCACGAAGTCCCTCATCTATTCCTTGAACTAAACTCTATCCAACTCCAGTGAATTCGAGAAAGGTAATGGTATGCAATAAAGTTCACGGGCAGAATCAAGAACAACGGCCTTGCAATCGTCATCGATCGCAACCAAAGAGTCGATGCGTGCATGCAGGATCACTTTCTCTGTCCCAATTTTGATGTCCAGTTGTACCGTGGTGGTGTGAAGCCACGTCCTTGTCGTATACTTTCGAGCCGGGGTGCATATCCTGTTAGTAGGTCTAAGTAGTAAATACTTGACTGTGCTCGGTTATAGAGCAAGCAAAATATACCGAACCAACCGTTAATGTTTCCCCTGTATATCTCGTAAGCTTGGTACTTTAGGTACATGCCGTTTTGACAAAATCCAGTTGTGCAACCTAAACGGGACGCGTCTATGTATGTATGCGTGCGATATACATATTACGACTTTGCAGGTGGGGTCCGGAACACTTTGCGTAGGTTGTCCCAAACGACGCCCGGACTTTGAGCGGCGTCAATGCCATGCCACAGGCCCTTGGCTTTGTAGTAATCTGCAACGGGACCAGTCTGCTTGTGGAAAGTTGTGAGACGCTTCCGCAACGTTTCTACATTGTCATCGGAGCGCTGGATGAGCGGCTCGCCGGTTTCGTCGTCTGTCATAGGCTTTTTAGGTGGACTAGTACCAAAATGTGTTAGGGAAATCTAATGTATAGCATCGGTTGGGACGCACTGGAATTCTTTGTGATACGTCCGTCCTGAAGCCGGGTGAATGAGACGACCGGTGATACGAGAGATGAGTAGCTGATCGTCGATGAGCAACTCGACGACATTGTCAAGCTTTTCACCGCGGGAGTCAAGCATGGAGTCGAGTTTCTCGGCCTGGGGAACGGTCCTTGGGAAACCATCCAAGACAAATCTGAGCCCATAAGGTGAGAAACAACGCGAACAAAATAAATTGTGTCCAACGCACCCGTTCTTGCAAGTCTTGTTATTCTCGAGCTGATCCTTGATCATGTTAACCATGATGTCATCTGTGACGAGCTCTCCGGCATCCATAACTTTCTTAGCCATCCTCCCCAACTCAGTTTTCTTGGATATTTGCTCGCGAAGCATGTCGCCCGTCGCGAGGTGGCAGACGCAAAACTCCTCACGTATCCGCGGGGCCTGCGTTCCCTTCCCTGTATTCAGTCAACATATCCCTTCCCTGAAAACCGTTCTCCACGAAAACGACACGAACCGGCACCAGGAGGACCCATAAGAATAGTTCGAAGCTGTTGAGCAGGCGTCTTCCTCGGTGGAACGACAGCCTTTGCTTTCTCCTCGAGTGCGTGAATTTTCTCATTGAGCTGTGCTACGAGGTGCTTGAGGTAATCGAGCTCATCTGAGGGTGCCATTTTGAACTGAGTCGACGGTCGAGGACGAACTTGAGGGAATTCGAAGATGTGGAATTCGATATGGGCGCTCCTTGTCTTCACCGAAACCTTCGCTTATATGGACCCCTGCATACAGGAAAGGCGGTTATAAATTTTAAGCGGAGATTGAGCGCGCGTTACTTATTAATAGTTATGTAAGTCTCTCAAGTGATCCACAAGTGACGACACAAAATATTCCTCTTTCTTGTAATAGTCATGAAGGAAGTCTTGCGTGGTCCTACGCGGTGCAGGATGGAATCATCGTGCGGTGCGATACTGCGCGTTTCAGATCTGTCGATTTCGTCATACTCAGTCTCACAGATGGAATGACTCTGCAATACGTTACACGCAAAGATCATTCCGTCTTTGAGTATTAAGAACTTCTACTGGTTTACGCGTCCCGAGTTTAACAGTGACCATAGATGCTTATCACCCTTCTGGCGGATTCGATCTGGAGCCCACAACAGGTATTGACCCATGAAACTTGTCAAGTGAAGCTCGTTCGCTGCACGTCGAGTCTTTCGATCGATGACCTTCTCTCTCATAGTTGGCAGAATCAGTTTTTTTCCTCATTACATTTTCAACGTTTCCGTAGCATGCCACATTCCACGGAACTTTGGAATTTGAGTATTCTGCAGAAGATGCTCCTGGTATGGAGCTGCCAACGGCATCAAGAGGGGAGAGGATCGATGATGCTCCGGTCCTCGATCCTCCTCTACGACACAGCATCGAGTCCAACGTACGTGAGACATGACGACACGACACTCTTCTTCTAGGAAGGACCTAGAAGGAAGGGGTGCGTCGTTACTGTAGTAAACCACGTGAAGACGGAATCATTGTGCGGTGCGTTCCAGACCTTGCTCGATCATGTCATACTCAGCCTCACAGACATGACGATTTTGCAACCCTTTACAAAAACGATCTCATCTCTGAGTGTTGAGTGTTGAAAACTTGTTCTCGTGTAAATTTATGCTTCCCGAGTCCAACAGTGACTATAGATGCTGATTGCTATTATACGGTCTAAATACATGAGCCTTGGTATGTGGTTCAAGTTTCGTTCGCCATATTTTTCTTTCGATGAGTCAATGACCTTCCTCGTAGCTAGCAAAATGTGCTCTCCTGACCATGTTTCACTGTTTCTCATCACACTTTCAACGTTTCCGTAGCACGCCACATTCCACAAGACTTTGGAATTTGAATATTTTCCTACAGAAAATGGTCCCTCGGAGTATGACAATGGTTCGATCTGAGATATGAACCGGTTGTTATTGATCTAGTAAACTTCTTTACAAACTATGACGAGTGACTCGTCATAGTTTTGAGTGATGCTCCTTAGTGCAATCAAATAGCGAGTGCATCGTGCCACATACTCCGCACTTCTCTGTGACGAAGCACCATTTATATGTTCATAGTATCTCATTTTAAGTGATGCCTATTTTTAATTGTTCTTTCATGACGTCGACGTTGAAGTTGCCTAAAGAGGATCATTTGAGCCCGGATTGACCCGATATGGCCCGCCTGCAACGTTTGTCGACGGACGCCATGAGTCGGGTGTTCAAGAATCTGACGAACAATAATCACTCGTACAAAGGCACCTTATGCTCGGCAATGATATCTCCGTCTAAGGCTAGTACAGTTCCCTTCGCGGGTTTACAGTTTCCCTGGAGATTCTGTCCAATTCAAGTAGTGATTCCTAGGTTCATTGATGGAAATGAAAACCTAGGAACCCCATGTCGTTTCTGATCAGTCACTGATCAGCTGTCATTGCCTTGCAATATAATACATACCTAACACCCTTGCGGTGCACGGTGATGACTAGGTTGCGGCTTGACTTGCCGTCGAGTGACTAAGGTCGGCAACTAAGGATGATATTAACAATAAGCGATCTGATGGAATTTTTCCACATCATGAGCACAGGAGAGTCGTTGCGTTCGTGAACTTCCAGGGAGAGCCAGTGCTTGAAGGCGCTCGAACTGCATTATGCCATGATGCGGCATTCGATCAAACGCCCAACCTGACAAAGTTGCAATGTGACAATAGGCACAGCCACTGATTACTGAAGTATTGACTTGTGCACAGGTAGCGTGACTCCACCAGTAGCGTCGGCCCATCTATATCCTTTTCTCATCTCCCACTGCCTCTTTTTCTTTCTGGTCATTTTGCTAGTTTACTTGCGTTTTTCTTGAACCTTATAGCAGCAGCTGTGCCAGGCTGTTTGTACGTTGGACTTCACAGGCTGCAGGATCGAATCAGTGCACGAAAAGTGTTTAGTACCTGAAATCGGACCAAGCACTGTCGATTTCACCATTTAGTTCATATACACTCGGAAACGTTCTCTCCTGACTTTATCTGCAGGTAAAGAGGTCCAGGTAATTGTCTCGAGATACGGTTGATGTGATGCTTCCTTCCCAGGCCTTCTTGGGCGCTCAGACTATAGAGGATCGGTACAATCTCTTCATCCGCACTTCAACGACTTCGAGTTGCCTTTTACGCCACGTCCGAGCTTCCTGTGTATTAATAAGTGTGACCTAGGTTTCCTTGCATTTCCTGTGAGGATTCTATACCCTTATGTTTTTGATCCTGAATTGATGCAATTATGTAGTTCCAACTAGTGACGGCGTGACACACCAGACAAACATTTATACCTAGGATACCCACCAAAAATGCTTTACGATTCTCCAGAGACAGCAAATACTCCCTTCATACCCCCCCTTCCCTCTCCCGAAAGTGTCGCACCACCAGTCATTCCTCCAGCACCTCAAAACCACAACCCGCCAGCGTGGGCTCAACAGCCCCGCATGCCTGGGCAGTACCCATATTACCCCGCGACGCCATATAATACCACGCCATTCATTCCTCCCATACCCAGCGCGCATTCCACTCCTGCAATGCGCGTCGTCGATCCTCAAGGCTCTTACTTCCCCCCTCCTGCCAATCTTCCAAATGTATACGGAGCTCCGTCTGGGCATGGATTCTCAGCTGACTATACTGGGTATCCCAATGGTAACCCCTCGCCTTATGTGCCACCCCAGCCTCCTCCAGGCACACCTTGGGCTGCGCCTGGGACCGGGTGGGCATTCCCGCAACCGCTACCGCAGGGTCCTCCCGCTTGGGGTCCCCAATTAGGGGCATTTACGCCGGCGGCGGGATATCCCACGCCAGCAGCATATCCTCCACAAGCAGCATATGCTACTCCTGCGGCAGCGGGGTGGGGCATGCCTCTGCCTGGTATGCCACCTGGACCACCTATGCCGCCGCATATGTATGCTGGTCACACACCATGGGTGCACCCAACCGTACCGCCTCCCGCGCCACCTCAACCGCCTGACACTGCCCGCGCGAACTTCCGGTGGACAAGCAGTGCGGACCGTATCGACCCGTTTGCCGAAGGGCCACATTGTATGCGTCACTTGTTCAGTTTGAGATGGATATTTTCTGATATGGCATTATTTTATTAGACGGGCCCGTTCTCGAGCCCTTCCTTGTGAGAGCGGTTTGTGCAACAATTCGCATCAATCCCCTTCTATCTCCACCCACAGATTCGCACGAAGACTACCTCCGCTGGAACATGACTTTTCCGACGAGCACATGTTATCGCACGACTGGGACAAGACGCTCTTGGATCAAAGGGCGTGAAGCACCCGCCACTTTCCCGCGCCTGTCATACATCCGCATCATCTCACGCTCATTCCCATGGATGATCGCTGTGAAAGCGAGGCGCAAAAACATTGGGGTGACTTGTGGCGAAGTGGTCGAGGCCATTTCTGCCTATATGCACGGAGACGTTGCGAAAAAGGAATATGAGGGTGTTTCACACCGTCTGCGGCGGGAAATTTGGGCAGCGTATCAATATAATCGCTCAACGGACAGTAACGTCCCTGGTGGCCACCTGGGTGAGCAGCTGAGGCGGCTTGATTGGCTTGGCAGCAATTCGAGGTGGGGTGGTGTTGTTCGCAATGATGATTATGTCAAGGAGGCCTGTGGAGACGTCCTGCCTTGCACTTTCGAGCTCAAGTGCATCCCGAGTTACCCTCTTACTCCGGAGGAAGCCAACGAGCAGCAGCGGATGGCGCGGCATGCTGACCGTTCTCGTTCTCGCCCGAGGTCTGTGGGCTCTCGTCCGAGGTCTGTGGGTTCTCGTCCGAGGTCTGCGGGTTCTGGGGGTAGTTCTAATGAAGGGCTTGACACGGAGACTAGTACTCGTGAGGATGAGTCGGAATATGAATGATTTTCTTGTATGAACACGGCACGTTACGCGGATTTCTTTTTGTTGCTTTGTCGGTTTTCCCCCTTCATCTTGTCAATATTGTAGCCGTGGCCTTTTTCACCCATTTATTCTTCATCTATTGTTGTTCTATTTTTGCTGTCCAGTAGCTAACGGCTTCGCGTAGAGCTCACTTTGCTCATGTAGATACCTGCAATATCTTAGGGTTGTCACACAAATGTCATGTAGAAACACAATTTTACTTCTCTTTACTTCTGTTTCTCAGTCAACTGCTGACCTTCGGTAGTTGGCTTTGAGATAAGCAAATTTAGAGTAATGATTCTCTGCGCTGGTAGTAAGTAAGAGTAAGAGTTACTTTATAGATTTCAAGTCCTGACATACGTTCGAAAGGAAGAAGGGATACAGTACAAGTAAATCCTACAACAGGTGTAAACGAAGTAAGAGTAAATACAGGCACTTCAAATGAATTCTATGAAACGTTGTATGAAACGATGTTATCATTTAGCTAGTTAGATCGTTAGATTAGGAACGTTCGCCCCTGAGACGACGAGCGAGAGCGAGATCCTTGGGTTGACTAGACCAACGTGTGAGAAATTAATTACCAATAGATTGGAGGAGGAAGCTTACATAGTAACCCTCTTGGCGTGAATGGCAGCCAGATTGGTATCTTCGAAAAGAGATACCAGATAAGCTGCGCAAGCGAACATATATGAGCTCGAGCGATAGTCCAAAGGTGCATCTACTTACCCTCACTAGCCTCCTGCAAGGCAAGAACAGCGGACGACTGGAAGCGAAGGTCAGTCTGCAGGTGATTAGCATAGTCAGTGACTGTCCCCACGCAAGTGCAATGTAAACATACCTTAAAGTCCTGGGCAATCTCGCGCACGAGCCTCTGAAAGGGGAGCTTGCGGATGAGCAGCTCGGTAGACTTCTGATACCTCCTAATTTCACGGAGGGCGACCGTACCAGGTCTGAAGCGATGAGGCTTCTTCACACCTCCAGTGGCGGCGGCCTGCAACGACGAGCAAGCGGACGTCAATGAGGGCCCCCAGAACATTCGATAGTAAATACTAACCGCCACACTCTTTCTAGTCTGTTTGGTAGCGAGTTGTTTGCGAGGGGCCTTGCCTCCTGTCGACTTACGCGCAGTTTGCTGAAATTACCAAAAAAGGAAAGTCGTCAGAAACATATGTTACAACATTGGAAGTTCCATCGGGGTATGAGAGGGTCCTCCGGAGGTTGGAAGATGTGGATGGAACGGAATGCGTGGTTTCAAACCTCCGTGGTGCCTTCTTTGCGAAGAAAATCACCAAACACAGGTTCTTGCGCCACAGCACCCAGCACCTGGCAACAACCTTCTCATATAGCCCCTCACTCGGGACGATGAGCATGCCTCCTCCCCCCTCACAAATTTATATATGATAGAGTGAGATAGTGTCTACACACCTTAGTACGAGCCATTTGATAGTTTGTGGTGTTTGTGGATTAGAATTTGGGATTTGAGCTCAAAGATCACCGAGATGATGGTGGTTGGGAAGAAAGAGAGTGGGGGAAAATACTGCAACACATCTCCTCTCCTTAAGCCTGCTGGAAGATTTTTTTTCTCGGTATTTCTGACTCTGCTTTGCAGTGCTTATGGTCAGTGCGCACTTCACTTCAGCTGGCAGGGGCGGACTCAATAACAGAACCGCCGCCACGCATAACAAATAGATGTAAACAAGCGCGCATCAAGGTATACTTGGTCATTGAATATGATACATAACTTCAGCTACTGACCAGTTTACTATCTAGGTCATTTGTTCAAAACGTGAAAATTTGGACCAGGACTTTGAACTACCAACGCCGGACATGGATACACCAATACCAGTGCTATTACCTTCGAGTTCAATTCCGCGTCCACTTTCGCATCCCCGCCTAGAATGGACACCTAAACGATATCTATCTGATCCTCAGCCACCTCCTATGGACGATGCTAGAGTTCTCGAGCAAGAAATGGCAGCTGCTAGACAGTTGCAAGACGGGAAAACCGTAAAGAAGACAAGGCCTCGGCGGACTGTCGATTTCAACGCTGGTATGGGCAGATGGGATCTTGTATGTAGTAGCTTTACCGCCTATACACGAATATTTGTCTGACCGAGTTTAGCTACGCAAACACCGACCTAACTCGACATATGTCCCCTCCATGAGACCTGCTCCCCCCTTCATTGTTGATGTACGACTTTCCTCTTTTCATGGCGCGTAGCAGCTGACGAATTGTTCATCGTGTATAGCTACTCCCACCAATTGCTTACCCTGGAAACTCTTCGACGTCGTTGTGCACCAAATTCATTCACACATCGACCAACAAGATTCGCTGTCCAGTCAATGTCGTTACAGTCCGTACTACCGTTAACACTTCTTTCAACACTCTCAAAACACTAATTTAGTGGACTCCTGAAGGAAGACGGGTACTGACAGGGTCAACAAGCGGAGAATTTACCCTCTGGAACGGTCTCACATTTAATTTCGAGACCATTCTTCAGGCCCACGATTCCGCCGTCCGAGCCTTCCAATTTACGCACTCTGGCTCATTCCTAGCTTCTGCTGACCAGAATGGAATCATCAAGTACTTCCAGCCCAATATGAATAATTTAACTGCGTGGTCTGGTCACCGCGAAGCCATTCGAGGTTTGAGTTTTAGCCCAGATGACCGCCGCTTTGCAACGGCGAGTGATGATTCGACTATTCGAATATGGTCATTCGAAGAGAGTCGGGAAGAACGCGTTCTTACAGGTATACAATTTTGGTGTCGTTTCACTTTTCGGTCCGTTAACTTTATGGCTAGGACATGGGTGGGATGTTAAGTGCGTAGAATGGCATCCTAGCAAGGGTCTTCTAGTATCCGGAAGCAAGGATAACCAAATAAAATTCTGGGACCCGCGAACCGGAGCGGTTCTTTCAACACTGTAAGTACACCAAAGCAAATTTTTGCTATTACTAACGGGGTTCATTAGGCATCAGCACAAAAATACGATCCAAGGCTTGGCCTGGTCTCCCAACGGCAACCTTGTAGCGAGCGCCTCCCGTGATCAGACCATCCGCGTCTTTGATATCCGCGCTATGAAAGAGTTCCGCATTCTCAGAGGCCACAAGAAGGAAGTCTGCTGTAAGTCATGTCTGCTTTCACTTGACCACACACTGACCATGCGTAGCCGTGACATGGCACCCCGTCCACCCGATCCTTGTGTCTGGCGGCTCAGAGGGCGCTGTGCTCCACTGGGACCTCGGCGGTCCAGAGCCTACAACCTTGCAACCCGTCACACAACCCCGCGCCACGCTTTCGCAAGCGCACGATTCAAACATCTGGTCGATGGCGTTCCACCCCATGGGCCATCTCCTTGCAACCGCATCGAACGACCACACCACGCGTTTCTGGTCGCGCGAACGCCCTGGCGACGCAACATCCGTGTTCTCCGGTGGTGGCGAGAAGCCCCCAGAAATAACGGACATGAGCGGGCAGGACGACGAGGACGACGCGATGGTTCCTGGGTTCAGCTATGGCGGCACGAATAAGTGGTGGGGCAAGGATGAGGACACGGCGGTTGGCTTGGGGGATAATAGTTTTTCCCAACGTGCATCGGGTGACGATCCGATGGGCTCGGATGACTTCATTCCTGGGTTCGGTGCGGCGGATCAGTTTGGGGGCCCGTCACCTGTCGCTCCAAAACAGAGTGGTCCGCTTCCAGGTCAGGAAGAGATGTGGACGGCTGACTCGAGAGGTGAGGAGTGGGGAAACCGCAGGGGTGGGTGGGTAGGACGTGGAAGGGGGCATAATCCCTCCGGTCCTCGTAGAGGGCGGTACTGATCTTACAGATACGACAGAATCATCTATACTATCGCACTGTGTTTTACGATGTCTCCCTCAAATATTGACACCGACTGAGCGCTCAAAGATATAAGCTGGCTTATGTTCAGTTAATTTCTGATGTGTACTACTGATCTACTTAGTCGTTGACGCCCTTTGTAGGCGGTCACGTGAAGCTTCCCTCCAAGTGAAGCACACATCAAAGTTCGCCCTTTCAAAAGGACACGAATTTGCAGAACGACGCCTCACTCTTTCTTCTCTGCGCCCATCTCCTTTTACACGTCGCTCACCAGATTTTGTCCAGTTACGCACCTCCCACCTTGCTCCTCTAGTGTGTTTTGGTCTTGGTTTCGCGTTTCCTTTGAACCCGTGGTCTGCGCACGTTTCGGATCGAGACACTCCGAAGGTCTGCCTTTTTCAATTGATCCCGATATCCTCCAGTTCGACATCTTCTCTTCGGCTTTTTTGGGATCCATGCTTCTTGCCCAGACAGGCCCAGAGACCCTCTGTCTCCCAGCGCTGATCTGGCAAGGCCAGAATACAACGAATTTTAGACGTACTTAGTCTTAGTCACCGATTCGTTTAAACTTCACTCGCTTCCCACTAGCTCTTGGCTTCTCTCTTGCTCTCTAAACATCAGTTCACGCCGCTCGTAAGACCATTAACTGATAACCATTTACTCTTTCTTTTCTTAGACAACACGATCATACAAAGGCTCGAGCTACTCTATATTTGCTCTCTCTGTTTGTCATTCCCAATATTTGCCATGCACCCCGCCTTCCAAAACCTCGAAGTCATACACACAGTTAGTTCATACACCCAACACGGTTCGCTTCCTGCATTTGCATCCACATGCCGCGCGTTCGAGAGCCCAGCACTTAATGTCCTTTGGAGGTATTTGCAGTCCGTGGAGCCCCTCGTCAAATGTTTACCAAGTGACTTGTTTGGCATTGATCACGGATGTGTGGTAGGTGTCCCGATTTTATATGACTGGTGACTGGGCTGAGTTCGCTTGCGCAGGTATTGCAGAAACCTCTTGAGGGCAAGATGTGGGATACTCTTTCCAAATACACGTCCCGCGTACACTCGATCACACAATCCGGCCATCTGAAGGGTATTGAGCACCTCAGCTTGCTAATGCTGTCTTGTCCTCTGGCGTCTGCATCTTTGTTTCCGAACCTTCACGAAATAACATGGCGTGCCGATGGAACCCAATGCGCTGCAGAGTTCTTACGGATGGCTTTTGTACCCACCTTATTGGTCTTGGACCTGCAGATTTTGTCAGCTTCTTCCGCTTTTCTCTCGGTTCTCTCGTCTCTTGGCACCTTGTGTCCTCGCCTCCAGGACATAGTCGTTAAAGTTCCACATCCAACCGACCACTTGTTCCGTAAAAGTTCGCCCTTCATCACACTACCCATATCCCAGCTCCACCATCTCCGTACCTTGCGGGTATGGGACCTAGGAAACCGAGGCATCGAGCACGTTATGCAGCTGCGAGCTCTGCAATCACTGTGGTTGGACTTAAGAGCATCATCAACTTGGGATGCCCGGCCTCACTTGCAATTCCCTGGCTTTGATGATTTGCATTTGTTGGGTTTTTTTGCACGTACATTCGAGTGCGTCTCGAACTTCTTGAGTTCACTTCAGGTCGTCAGAAGCAAAGGAATCAGCATCTGCCTCTCCCACAAGGCCTCCGCAAATGGATCCACCGTTATGATGCTATCCCAGCTCTTCACCATCCTCCGAGAGAGATGCGAGAACGACAAACTTGAATCCTTCGTTCTCTTTGTTAATTCGACGAAGGTGTTCAAGCAGGTACGCACAGAACCGGGTATCTTCACGCCACTGCACGCATACTCCAACTTAACCCGGTTGGATATCGAGAAGTGCTGTGACATGTCCATGTCTGACGAGGAGCTTTGTCAACTGGTGGGAACCTGGCCTAAACTCCGAGTGCTCAAAATTAGCTGCCATGTCGCCATAAATGACACCACGGTCCCTACATTCCATGGGTTAATCAGTTTACTTCGGCTCTGCCCCGCTCTGACTTCACTTGCTCTTGTCATCGATACCACTAAGCTGGAAGGCATAGATCTCAAATGCCCCGGTGGTGAACGCTGCAATGAACAACTCAAATCCCTCGCCCTCGGGAATTCATCCATCGAATCGCCAGTAAACGTAGCTCTCATCCTCAGTGGCCTCTTCCCCTGCCTGACGCAGGTCAATCTTGATTGTTGGGATACGGCCCCAATGAATTCGTTGCCCCAGAAGAAGTCAGACATGGAGCGATGGGAATTAACCAATAGCATCCTTGGTGGCTTTAGCCTTGTGAGGCAGCGGGGCATTAAAGCATGTCGTTGTTCTGACCTCTAGGTTACGCTTGAGTCGTCACCTACACATTTTGATAACACGCGAATGTACACATGGTAGGCTCCGGATGCTCCCTATACTGCATGTCCACCGATAGCACCTCCAAAGCCCTCAAAATCATGCATTCCATGTCCCTGAAAAGTGCACCTTGGGCACCCATAAGTTAATGACACAGTAGCGCCCCGGAAGCCGGGTCTGGAGAAGTGATTCAAATATTCACCATTAGGTAATCTTTGGAGAGTTCCGCTCGCAACGTCCATCATCATCCATTGTCGTATGGATAATGGTCTGGTGCCAGTACCATAGAGGTCAACTGTATGTATGACAATCAAGGGATATATTCCTTGTCAAATGTGGTGCGTAGTGACAACGGCTACATGTACAGTAAGCTGAATAAAAAAAAGTTGGCAGTGGCGAGGGGTTGGTAAAATAAAAATACGACCAAGAAACGAGGAAGTGGATTGCATCTGCCAGAAAGATTCACGTCTGCATGTGCGACCAACTAAGCGTGTATTCCGGCATTACATACATTGCCTTCTCAACTTTCTGTGCCCATAGATCTTCCTCGCGCTTCAAGAATTGGGTGTACTGGCAAACGCGGTTCTGCGCTGCGGCATAGCTGAAATATACCGTATCAATGCTGTGGTGGGTGGAGGCGATCCTGGTCATTTTCTTCCAAATCGTCTCCGTCGAGCGCCATCTTACACACAGAGTCACTGCTTTTCCGGCGGCTAAGCGTACCAAAAATGACCGCAACTCTTGTTTGCGCCCAGTATTTTCTACGTTTGCACAGTTGTTGGGGTTACCTATGCCTTCCACAAATACCGGAACTGGTGCTGATGTGGTTGGTAATGGCATCATGGGGTGCTGATATTCGACTTGGGTCACGGTGTTACAACTTGGATGAGTCATGCAACATCGAGTTATTAGGAATTTTGATCGAAATAATGCGGTATTTCAATGTTGGGGGATGATCAGGAGCTTGATCTGAATGCTGACGGGCAACAGAGATTGAGAGGGGGGCACAAAAAGAACACACCAGGATCGAGTTCAGGGAGCCAGAAGAGAGGGAAAAATGGGAAGAGACTTGTGAGCAAGTTACCAAATACGACCGTCACTCGTTGAAATTAATGACAAGTTGAACTGAACATCGAGAACACATTCCTGAGGTCATACTCAGAATGCAGACATTCAATTACCCGACAGAGATGAAATCGATTACTTCATTCCCAGTCATAGAAGAAGTCCTTACGAAGCAATCTCAAGCTCGGATACCAGCTGGTGGTTCCAGGACGAGCTGATGTGCTCCTCGTAAAGATTCCAGTTGCCACTCGGATGGAGATGATCATAGTCGAAGTTGACCTGTAGTATTGAACCTAAAACTCACTCCACCATAGCGGAAACGACCACTCGGTGCTTACGTTTTGTCGATATGTACAAGCTCATGAGCTCACCCAGCATGGAACGGTGACTTCATCCATCAATATATCAAAAGTACCACGAAGTCAGAAATGCATTCTAGAGTGTTCATAGTGGGCGATAGCATGAGATAGCTGAAAAATAAACAACGTAGATGCCTGTACAATGCGAGAAAGTCATATGCGAGGGAACGAGAAAGTGCCATAATACAAGTGATATCGCCGCCAAAAAAAAAATAGCCAAAGTGCGATTCATGAAATGTCATCGCGGACGTCATGAACTGCAGCGTGAAAAGCCGTGCCTTTCGTCTATGAGTTGAGCATAAATTCTGTAAATGTGTGAGTGTGATGCTAGCTGACCGCGAGGAATGAATTTACAATTACCAGGTCACTGGCGCGGGGCGATCACAACTCGGACGCAAGCATTGGTGTCCCGCGTGGAGTAGTCGAGCCACTGTTAGAAGAAATGATGCTATCCAAGCTGCAGGAGCGGGGTCCGTTGAAGGTGGGATAGCGCAAGGGAGAAGAAAGATTGTAAGGAGGTGAGTGAGAGAAGAACGATTCCACATCAGAAGCAGATTGTGAACGGGTGATTGGACCAGAGGAATTGTCCGTCAGTGAGCCAGAGCCTGTGAAGAAGCAGAATCTGCAAGGAGGCGTAAATCTCGGGTTTCAATTGATTCAGAAGTGCGACTTACTGGTTAAGAAATTGGCTATAGCTATCGCTAAGAGACGGCTTGTCATCGGAAACAGTGGGTGTACTGGGCCCCGGAGACGTAAGCGGAGTATTTAGGGAGCTCGAGTCGGACGCTGCAGACGCAGTGGAGCTTGCGCTGTCTACCCGACCCATATTTTGAGCAGTAAATCTGCGAAAGAGGGAAGGTTGTCCTCTCATGGAATCGCTGCTGCGAGTAGAGGACTGCTCTTCCAACGGACTCAAAAAAGCAGGACCTGGAGGGGTTTTACGCGGTGTGCCACCCATTGGTCGATGGAAATAGCCACGACGGTGGTTGCGCTCATGTGCTGCGCGTGACTGGGGAGTTGAAAAGGGGGAGTCAAGGTTTAGAGAATCTGACTGCGCAATGTGCACCTGCTCTCGCTTCTCCAGGTCCCTAGATGACCCTATAGTAATGGATCGAGTATGGCGTGGTGGTATCTTATCAACGCGAGAAGGGGCATGCTTTGACGAAAAGCTGGAGAGCTCTGCAGGGTACGTGGGGGTCCGCGCACCTGGAGAAGAAAGGAGAGGGAAGGTCCCACTTCGAGGTATCTTGAGCGTAGAACCTAGATCATACCTCGCTGACAAAGACGCCTTTGGCGTCAATGTCGGGGAAGAGCGCAGTGAAGGAGACGCCTGAGAAGGACCTATATCCACCCTCGCCGACTCGACTTTGGAACCCGGATCCTCCATGCGAAACTTTGTCGCAGCGGGTGACTTCCGTGCCACAGGTTTCCGGACGAACTTAAGCATGTAGTCGGCACCGCTGTTGTTGTCCCAGATCTGCCTACCTGCGGTAGAATACCGCAAGGCAATAAACATGAATTTCCCCTCGATACGCGACCACATGTCATGCAATTTTATCGAGAACGTGAAGATGTCAAACATGCCACCGTCCACAGATTTCGCATAGTGGGCAGTAACCTCGCTCGTCGTCTGCCACGAATCCAGGGTGAACCGAGCAGCTACCCATTTTTCGTACGCGATGTTGCGCACTCGGACTCTTCCGATGACGGTCTTGTCGTTTTGCGACAAAGTGAGTCCTTGCAAGATCACGTCCGCACCCACTGGCGGGACGGACGGCATGTTGCAAATATGGAGCTCGATCTGTTTCTCGGAGTCGTCCGGTAAACCACGGACGAACGAAGGGAAATCGCTCTCGGTACCGCTGGTATCGGTAGCTGGGTCATGATCTCGCGACACCGCTAGGGGCTTTTGCTTCGCGAGAAACAATTTTACGTGCTCGAGCTTGGCGTCGAAATGTACCGCCTTCGAATGGGTAGGCGTCGTGGGTTCGCTCTGCACAACCCCGCTACCCGTTGGAATTGACAAACTGGGGAGCTTGACATGCTTGAGTGACGGCTTGATGGGCTGGCCAGACTTATTTCGAATGAATAGCGTCTGTGGAGATAGGTTCAAAGTGCCGGACTGAGACTTGACGTGCGGGTTGAAGTGGGGAAGAGAGCTGGTCCGCATTTCCGACGAAAATTGACGAGATTGTGCCTTAAATGGGTTAGGCTTTACACTCCCCACAATGTCTGATGGTGCCTGCATGAAGCGCGCCGTTTCCGCATCAGATACATCACTGAGCTCCGGCGGGCGCTGAACATTCTTTTTGTCCACTTGGCTACGCGTGCGCGGACTCAGTTGGTTCCTGGGCTTGACAGCCGAGGGTGTGGGAGAGGAGGGATGGGACGCGGGTGTTGTGGTAGAATTTTGCCCACGAACTCGTCGAGAGCGCGGTATGACGATATGCGACTCGTCAGAATGTGCGGAAGAGGTGGAAGAGGTGGAGCTGGAGGAATCGTACTGATAAATATCAGTGGTAGGAAAGTGTATCGATGACTGATCAATAGTCGGATCGACGAGGCTTTTATCGTGGTCAAAAGGACTTTCGTCGAGGAGATCCGTCATGGAGGAATCAGACCAGGGAACATGATCTAAGAGTGACATTCGTTCCATGACCTGATGCGAAAGACGCCCTGCATTACTGCCATTCTGCAAAATTGTTGGATCGGTGCTACGCGGAGAGATCTCGCGAGCCATAGAGTTCATGAACAATGGAGGAAACCCCTTATCGATGATTACCAAGGACCTGTCTCAGAAAAGTAAGACTTGTTGCAGTCACATATCGAACACGAATACTTGCCTTGTCAAACGGTTTACGCTGTCCAATCAACTGCGCAGTGATTTATACAGACCGAGACATGGAATGAAAGATGAGGGTTGTTGGTCACCAGAAGAAAATAAAGATCCTTGGACCCCCACAGAAACTGACGTCACACTGGCAGGAGTGATCGGCGTGAAACAAGCGCGAACACAAAGGGCACTGTGGGCGACTTGTTTCTAGTTCAGACTGTATGTTCCATTTTCCAGGTAAGTACGATAACAGGTTTGAGTCAAATATTCAAAAACTGACCTGTGTCACAATGGATAGCCCAAACCCTACGCAGAAAGTCTAGGACGTTAATGAACGTTAGCGTAGCCTGGACCACCTGGTAGTACGCTGGTGACAGAGGAGAGAAGGGCTGAAAACTTCGCATAACTTGTCGCGGTGATACCATTATATATGTTTTTTGAAAATTTGTAAGGGAAGACTACTTAGCCTAACACTCCTTACGAGATTCATACTCACACGTGCGAAAGATAAGCAATTTGTTGTCCACTGTTATCGGCCAATTCATTCGGTCCTAGTAACTCTGTCTGATTCTTTGCGCAGCTGGTTTGCGCCGAAACAATATACATGGATCTCCCAAAACCCTTCCATCTTCGCAAAGAAAGGTAATCTTGAACCAACTTTCTTCTGTGGATCGAGACCTCTTTCATCCGTACGAAGACCTGATGGTTTGTCATGTTGAACCAACCATGGAGTCACAATTGATTGATTGCAGATGCGGCTTTCTAATACTGTGCAGATAGCAACGTTTCACTAGGGCCACCAATCCCAGACGTAATGAAATTAACGCTGGAGGCATCTCTATGTCATGACCAAGATGCTTTTGTCGCGATTGTATCAAGATAAGCTAAAAGTTTCAAACTCCCGAATGGAAATCCTCCCGTGCATAGACTCGGACAGGACAGCATCCTGGTAATTTGAAGTACTTGGTTCAGGATCGATGTAGAGCTTCCGATGGATATGACCATGGACGCCTACGTCACTGGCTATCTAAAATCGTATTTTGATGACCCGTTATAACACTGGGAGGTGAGTAACATCTCTGGTAGACGTTCTAAACAACGCTATCCGCGACCTACGTGGTTTAAGTCAGTCCATTTTATATACTAACTCGGAGTGAAATGACATTTGATGGCAACTTTAGCCGCTGTTCCTCTACCGACTTCCTTGGGAAAGACCTATGAAGGATTTCGTAGCTCACTGCCACCGCGATGTTCTCTGCCAGTTTCGAATGATGACCTCTTTTAACGCCCAATCACGTTACATACGGCGTCTGTGCGCCACAACCCCGGCTCCAATGATCCAATAATACGCGCCCACGGCGTCGGTAAACGGAGCAAAGAAGGAACGGGAGGGGCATTATTAACGCTCGGGATATCTGTCGAGATAAGCAGAGTCGAAACTTGCACCATTTCCCCTCGCTTTAATTTCAAAGGGCTCCTCCGAGTCTCTAAATAACTTACCTTCGATCGCGCTTGCAACCTGGACCCATGTTATCCACGGATTTACCACGCAAAGTTTCAAACCTCCAGCCGAAATTCCACATTGCGCCTCTCGATTTCCTGGAACTGTAAGATCTTCGTTCCATGCGATACAAAATCAAGGGTGAGGTTTCACGTTCAGCATGGGCTCCACAGTACTGATTGGGGAGTCGGAGAACCACTTTGAGGTACAAGTCAAGACGACGAAATATCATCGCGGACTTATGTTGCGATTCATTCAGTACCTGATGCACCATACGAGGACGATTCTCAAGCCTCGTAGATCTGCGGGCACTAGTTAATAGCGGGCGGCTTGTCCGACAGAATCATACGCTAACATTTTGGAAGCGCTTCGAAATACTTCCCGCCGTATAAAACAAAATCAGCCGACTTTCCCTGTTCTGCAGCTGCACCGTTGAATTCAAATGTGGGGCTGCTCCACTCGATTTGTCCGCTGGAAGCTTCTGTATGTGTAAACAACTTTTTCAGTTACGACATCGCGCGTGTTGGGGAAACACATCTATACCCTCGATACCGCAGCTTTTCATGTTTCCTTGTGGAGCAATTACGAAGAGGTTCGCATTTTCCATTTTCTCTCTATATTCTTCCAAAGCGCCCTCACAGAGCAAAGGTCATGCTATCGAAGGCAGTCGCCAGTGCTAGTGCTGGGTCAACCTTGTTCCTGTCGGATTCAAGGGACCCGTCATGGACTGCCTTCGGGAGTTCGGAACATCATATTGCGTTGCATTCGGGATGTTTCCCAACAAATGATTCGCCTGTGAGCGCTTGAGCTTCTAGTCTCATCGATGGGGATCTAACCGGTGCCAAATACCTCTTGCAGTATATCGATGTCCCGGCATGAAGTGAGTTCGTGATCGGTGGAGATGTTTTGATCCATAGTCTTATTATTAGCCTTAGCATCTGCATGGTCCTCAAACTCGACAGTCGATCTCGTCGAGATGAAATCTTATATGGCAATTCTATTGCTTTTTGTCGAACTACTGAAGAATACATTGGGAATGTATGATGAAGTTTCCACTCACCCAAATCCGTTAACTCTTCCTTTGTCGGACCTCATCGCGCTCCAAAGATCCGATTTTCGGCCATATCGCTATTTCACACGGGACCTTCATTGTAGGGTATCATGTCAGAAGAAGAGGCAAGCTCGTTTCCTAACCCTCTACATAACGCTTGTGCGCGAGTGCCGAGGTGTATTATGCAGAAAATTGCAAGTACCTGAACCCCATGTGACATCATCAAACACACCTCTACCCGAACCTTTCTGTGGGTCTGAAGAGTGTCAGGTACGTGCCCTTGAATAGGCATTTTACCGTGCGAGGAATGAAAGGACTGCATACAATCAACAGACCACTTCCTCACGGGGCCCGCCCATCGGTGGCCGGTAGCGACGTGCGACGTATGATGAGAAGTCCGCCCTGAATACATGTCACAAAGGCTTGTTCCTTGTGGTCCGCGCAAACCGCACCAGCGCAACTTGAATGAGAGTTGAGCGTTGTCGTCGCAGTGCTTCCACTAATACGAAGGAACGACTGTCTTGCTTCGATTGGTCTGGCTTGGGGAGACTACGCTTCCACAGTCACGAAGCTCGAAGGCTGATGATGCATACGATGACGTGCTCAGCGTTGGATATCTTAGATCTGGCATTTGGTGAATACCACGAAGATGGCCTGGTTTGTGGGGCGTACAAATTCGAATGACGTCTTGCGATTTAAAGGAAGGTGGGAGATTACCGAGACTGGGACCGGAGGTCTCGTGCAATGTGTCATGTGGAGAGAGAGAGAGAATTTCTATATTTATATACCGCAACAAACAAGGTAAACTGTTAAGACGCGGTGCCCTGTTAGGGCTGTACTGGGGGATGTTGTAACAGGGTAAGGGGTGTAAGTATAGTACGAATAGCCAAGCGGTCCGCGTTTGAGAAGTTTCGGTGCGCGTATAAGTTCGTCCGGTGTCCAGGCTGAGTATAATATGGTACAGTTTCTCTCCTTCCTCCTCCTTCTGTGCTCTTCTCGTCTCCTCCCTCCTTCGTCACCTCCTTTCCCGCCCTCACTCAGGCTTCTATCCCTCTCCTTTCTTCCCAGTCCCCTTCTCGTTCCAGTGCGGCCTTCTTGAATGCGCTGGATTCTTCGATAAATTTCGCTAATGCCTTTATGCCCTTTTCCGTACCCAAGATTTCGTTGAGTATGATGTTGTAGGATACCTCTCTTAAATGGATGCGCTGTCGCGTAAATTGCGGGCAGTCACGTAGGATGTGTTCTCGTGTTTGACGTGGTTCTCCACATGGGCAGAGGGTGGGTTCGGTGGGGACAAATGCGGCATAGTATTCTCCAATGAATCCGTGTCCTGTGCGACATTGTATAAGACGGCCGTATACTTCTCGAGGAGTATGAGTGAAGTGTTGGCGAGGTTTGAGCGTTGGTGGGAGTCGATTTGCGATAGCGAAGCGTCCAGTCTGTGCTGCCACGTCTCTATTCCAACTCTCTGTCCATTTCTGCCGGATCCCTTCCTTGTTTCTTCGGCGCGCATTTGCGTAGGTCGAGTGGGACGTGTCGTTACGTCCAGTGGCTTCTTTGGCGAGCTCGTCAGCACGTTCATTGCCGATGATATGGTGGTGTCCTGGGATCCATGCGATTTGGACATGGTGGAGGGGTGACGTGGTTAGGAAATCTTCGATTGAGCGTCTGATCTGTAACGCAATGTATTGTGAGGGTCCGGGTGCAGCTGCATATGCAGCCTGCACCACAGAGTTGTTATCTACGAAGAAATGTAAATGGGTCACCTGGGAGTCTTGTGCGAAA